ATCACCAGCAAAACATGTTCCACCTGCATGTCTAGTTGGGATGCAATACTCTGTGAGCAAGAACAGCTTGCCTTCTAATGGCTTCCAGCCTTGGCAGACACCCTGTCCCTTCTATCCCCACTTTCAGGGACAGCTCAGCTGCCTGAGAAGCAGTTCTGCAGCAGCTGTAAACCTATAGCCCAGCATACCCAGGTAAACAGATTGCAGATTAGTAAGTTTACAGCTGGTTTACTACAGAAACCCTGCTGTTCAAAAAGTTAATATATGCATGCAGTGGGGTGGCAGCCGTACCATGAACTACAGCGCACAGCTGTGTGAACTGGATTCCTAAGAATCACCCTGAATTTTTTCTACTTCAAGCACAACAACTCACAAAAATTTCTCCAGTCTAACATGGCACTCACAAGAAACTTGTGCTAGCCCACCTCACAGATGACCAAATAGAAAGAAAACCCTGACGATTTACCTCAAAGATTTGGATTTAGGTTGTTCTTACTTCTCTTTTTAAAAACTCTTCTGGTTTTGCCCAGTTAAAAGGTAGCCATAGCAGCAAACACACACTTACTTCCTTATCTGCCCAGTATGTGTTCCAATTCAAACTAAATCAGCTAAGGCAGTGGAATTTTGTGTCTGGCTACAGCGGATTAGCTCTCATATCTGCGTATTTCATAAACACAGACTAAATTGCCTTGAAATAGACTTAAAAAGCACCCACAGATTAATTTATACTGATTTCACTAAATCATTTTAGAACCATGCGTTAAAACTAACCCAACCTCAGCCTAAAGCTGACTACTCTTGTATAAACACTACCTGCACGCTCATGCTCCACATCCTCTCTGCATTCTGGATAACTAATTATTCCAAAAGATAAGAGGGAAGATAAGAAAGTAACATACCAGTAGTCTGTCCCTGTTTAATCTCTTCAGCGGTCCTGTCTATCAGGACATAGAGAGACCACACAACGCAGGTGATGGCAATGATATGGAATGTTACAGAGCACATGATCTTCCTCCTCTCACTGGCTGTCATCTGCAGCTTCTCCCACTGTCAAGAAACCCAGAAGCAGAGCAAGAGATTAGGTGTTTACTGTAGTTACGAGACAGTATAACAAAAAGAGAACACTGATAAGAACAAAAACCAGGCAGGAGACTGGCTTCCTCCTAGCATGGACTTTAAAAGTCATACAGTGTTATGGCTCTGACCATAGCATGCGTGTGACAGCTGGCAGCTCGCCCTGCTGTGACAGGAGTCATCCTGGTGCCAGAGGGGACCTCCAGTGCTCAGCTCCCATCTGGAGCCTCAGCACAATGTCCTCACACCCTGCTTACCCACGCAGGGGCAACTCCAGCACAGAGGGACCTTAATGCCTTGTTCAGTGCAAGTGAGGCTACTCCTTTCTGTGTGCCCCACTCAGCAGCTACCCACAGTGACAGCTGAGCATTGTGAGTGGCAAAGGGTAGCCTTGCTCAGGCAGGCATTCAATAAAACACTGCAGTACAAGTGGAACATGATCCAATTGACCAATGTGTGTAAGACATCTACGCTGAGCTCTGCTACAGTCCCTCTCTGCACAGTGAAGGCTGTTTAGCTCTCAGCTCACGGCTGTTTAGATCTCACCTCCTACCTCTGGGGGTTTCATTCAATCTTCACATATATTTAACACTACTTACAGCCGTGACATCCATATTTTATTTTCAGCGTTTCAAGTGCACTTAAATACATATGCCCTAAGAACACACAGTAGAAGTGGGATGACAGCTTTTGTAAGTGAGAGGATGCAGTAAATTAAATCCCCAGACTATTGATGATGTTTATACACCCCACAAGAAACCACAAAGTCAGGTCACCGTATTTAGGAAAGATACAAAGAAAGTAGAAAATTATTTTAGATGCTTCTAATATGCAAGGGATTGTAAAAAAACACAGCTTTTTTTCCTTTTTTTCTTTAACCTGAGACACCCTTTTTTTTAATTATTTTTTGGAAAATTCTCCTATATATATGATAAAGTTTTGCATGTGAGATACACGTCCCTCAGCATATCTGCTTGGAACAGAAAGGTAAGATGGGCTTTTCTCACACTTTCACAAAATATATGCCGGGGCACATAGGCTCTTCATACATACCTATATATTTCTAGAGAGGTGCATTTGATGTCTTCTAGAGTAATTTGCAGAAAAAGAGGACTTTGAACAGGAAAAATAATGTGGGCAAGGGTGACCTGACTAGTATGATTAAGATCACCCATTATGCTGAATTACTGTTTCCAGTGCTACAAATAAAAGAATAATTGAAATATTAAACAGAGACTTTGTGACCCTCTCTGTCTTGCAAACAATGCCTTTGGCCAGTCCAAGCCACATCTCCAGTTCTGTGGGCATCTAAATCTCACAATGAACACCTGAATTCAATATTTCCCGCAATGACATGCTAGACTCATGTCATGCTAGAAAGCTATGTTCTTTCGATCTTCTTAGAAACAGATTGGACAAAACATTCCATTTGGATTTTATTTTAAAAGGAAAATTGCTTTAGTGTCTGAACAAAGGTTTTTACTTTTGGTAGAAAGTATAAATTAAATTATTTTGTCAAAAAGTGTGCATGTGAAATCTATTTGTGAATGCTTTTACAGAGCCATGAGGAATTGTGCTTTGACTGGTTTATATTTCTCTTTTCTGCTGGACAATACCTCCTCTGAGCTGCTGGATCCACAACCACCAAACCAATGTGCACCACCTCATCTCCTCAAGTGATATGACTGCACAGCAAAAGAGAAGATATTCTGCTAACTATTTAACTATGCACTAGTCCAGAAAGGCAACTAGAATCTGTAAGTCCCTGCTGCATTATTCTGATGATACAGCATTTCCCAGTTAAAACAGGAGTTCTGGGTTTTGAAGTGTTGTTAAAACAAACCAAAACAAAAAAAAACCCAACCAAAAAAAAATCAGCAGAAAATTTGGATTTAATGTCTTCTTTTTTTTTTTTATTGAGATTTTAAAATGGAGTATCCATTTCTTGTCTTCCCTCATCTTCATTTGAACCTGACACATTTTGTTTCTCATCCTCTTCCCTTACTAACGTAGAGTATGAACAGCCCAACACTGCAATACAACCTAAAGATACTGAGGAAGTTTAATTCCATTTCTACCCTATAGTCAAGCACAAACCCTATTATTTGTCCCATCGTGCTCATAATCACCAGTTTCAGGCTGTTTTCTCCTGACTGACAGGATATCATAAAGGCTGAGTTGAAGGCAGCTTATCTTCTGGCTGCAGCTGAATCTCTAAAAAGACTTTTTAGATGTATTTCAGAGGAAATTTCTTCTTCTGTTTATGGCTCTGTCCCTACCTTCCGGCATCTGGTCTCTATCCTACAGATGACCTGTTCAGATATAAGTAATGATGCTGAGTGATTCATTTCTGAAGGTGCCCAACAGCTTTTTCCCCACAGGGCATAATACTCCGAAACTGCATCCCACCCACTCTAAGCAGAGAAAGCACAGAAAAAAACATTTACACACAGAGAGCTGCCAAGCTACAGACAGTTTAGCTACAATAGCTAACTCTCAGAGCTGGATTCCATTGATGGTGAATTTGGCATGATGAGTGTTAATTTAAATCTTTTTTCACCCATACAAAACTGACCAGACTTAGAAAAGAGCCACAGAAACATGATAAATATGTGGGGAGTCCTGTGGGCTCATGGGCAAGAGCTGCCTCTTTTCAGAGTGGATCTGTGTTTAAGAAAGCATTTCCTTGGGAAAGCAGGTCTTGTGCCTACCTTTCTCAAAGGCTTCAGTTTTGTCTCCATGATGAACTCATACTTGCACAATTCACAGCATCGCGTATCTGAGCTCTTGATCCATTGCTGCAGGCAGGCTTGGTGCACAAAATGAAGACTTCCCGTGCAGTGACAGGGTGTAATCAAAGGGCTCTCATCATCTCCTTCACAGTGACATATCCTGAATCAGAAGAAAAGCTGCTCATTAGGAGAAGAGGAAGCAGAAAGGATGTGGAAGGGGCATGTAATACCTGTGATCACGCACGGTTGCCCATTGAGGATCCTGAGACATACATATCAAAGGAATGTGTTCAGTAAAGGAGCTAAAACTAAAGAACTCCATTGCTGTGCAAGCACATACACAGGCACAAAATAATTGGGCACAGACACTGCTAACTAGACAGCCACTTTCTAACAGATGAGGCAGACACACAGAGTCTGACAGAAATGCCGTATCCAAAAGAAAGAAGAGGGTAAGAAATGACAACGCTTCATCTAGAACAATAGCACTTAACTGAAAATAGCACTTAAACAGATCAGATAGCACTTCCCAAGACAAAATATGCACAGAGAGGTACAGCTACTCATGGATTACAATCTGAAATGAAAGATAAAACAAAACTCTGCCAAAAACTGTGAAACAGCCCAATCCAGGATCATGAATTTAGACAGCCTGGATTTTGCACAAGAGAAGTGATAATTTCTAGTGCCAACTGCCAAGAAGACAGATCCACACTGCAAAGCTACAGCACTGAATCTCCCTAAATTACACCTACTGTAAATGGACGAACAGGTTTGCTCTCCAATTCTTACTTTGCTAATAAGGAAGCATTAGCTCTGGAAAATTCCCCATTTCCCTCACAGCCTAACTGTGCAGACAGCAAGGACACTCAACATAGTGTTACTACCAGGTGATGGCATTTGATTTCCAGCTTCAATTTATACACAACCCTTGGGTTGCATGAAACATCACTAAGCCCTTCTAACCATGTGGAAGAGGTCATGAATTGAAAAGGGGATGGTAAGGAGCTCAGGGAATGAATATAAGTTACTAAGCATATGTGAAGTACATCCTGGCATGCTGCCATCCCTGTCTATTACTGAAATCTCTTACTGATGTGTAGCATCTTGCCTCTTGCGACCTTGCTGATAGCTGGCATGTGGAAATGAAGGAGTGGGTGGATTACAGCAGTGTCTTGTTGATGACAAGCCAATACAGAATGAGATTTTGCTGGTAATGAAGGGGGGAATCAAATAATATTGGCAAGTACTAACTAAGCCAGCTTCAGAAAGTGCTGTCAGAGAGAAGGAAGATCAGGACAGTAAAATGCTAGGTAGAGGGATGGGATGTTTGCTCTGATATGTGGTGACTCCTGCTCCTCAGTCACATTTTGGAGCTGGAGCAGACCTGCAGACAAGTCACCATGAAGACAGTCCAGAGTTGCCTGTTCCCACCGTCTGTGCATGATTAAATCCTCTGCAGTTGGAACATGGATACCCATCTTTTTTGGACCTCGCACTATGGACATCACAGCACTCAAACACCCATTTCGACTAAGGCATCTAGAAAGCTCTTTACTTTAAAAGAGCATGGTGGGATACAAACTGTGTTGAAAACATAAAAAAAAAAAATCTTAGGCTCCATCAACCTGATCTCAGAAGCAATTTTCAACCTGTTTTCTTCCTGACTCCCCATCCTCTGACCAAACCAGCAGTGACTGCAGGACAACACTTTGCTCATGAAAAGCCAAGACATGTTCAGCTTGGCCTTTAATATGTGTGGCTGATTCTCTCATGATATTCCCAGTTTGGGCACTGATAAGAGAAAAATACCATCTCAGAACACCAAACATTAAACAAATTGCAAGAGAATTTATTTGACTCCAGAGGAAATTATTTTGTTTAGTAGCCTTGTTAAGTGCATCAGAGGGGTGCAAGACAGCAGATAGAAGGCTGCATGCTTCAAGTTGCACATATTAAAGCAAGGTGACAGGGTGACAGAAAAGACAGAAACAGCACAAAGGCAGGGAAAAGCAGAACGGTCACCACCACACATGGGAGGGCTCGAAGGTAGGTGGTTCTCTGGTAAACCAACCTGCAGGTATCCCCCGATGTGGACACAGGGGAGAGAGGGGGGAATTTTTCTGAGAGGGGGGAAGGGCAGTCAAGGTCACTATCCTTCTCAACTGAACAGAGAGGCGCCCGCTGCTCTTTTGTTTTCAATTTCACTGAGGTGCTGTCCTCAAAGACGTCATCATCTCCCATATCATCAGAGCAGAAGTCTGTGCTTTCCACCAGCACGCTGGAGGATTTATCAGCTTGGAAGTGACTGGAATAGTTCTCCAGTTCGTGGAACTTATGCAGGCTGCTGGTGCTGGAGGTGTGGGAGAAGGAAAAAAGGTAACGCAACAGTTTTTTGCTCCTTGAGGTGTCATGGTCCACTTTGTCCTCTAGCAAGGGGATATGTACAGCGCTGTGGTTCTCTGCTCCTCCTGATGCACTTGAGTAGTTGGAAAGGGAAGCGATACAGGAGCGCTTAGAATTAGTAAAAGAAAGAGGCCTGAGATTCAGCAGTTTCCTCTCGTTAAGATGAAATTTGTTAATCCTTAAACACTGCTCTTGAGTTGGGGTCAATTTGCCTTCTGAGCGTGTTCGCTCCACATAGTCAAAGCACTCACTGGTGCTCTGAGCCTTCTGGTCCACGTCATTGAGGGACTTGGAGAATTTCAGAGTGCGGGTGGGCTTTACATTCTTAGCAGGCCTGAGTGCCTGGCCCCGATCCTGCCCACAGGAGTTTCTCTTTGCTGCATGTAATGTGTCCTGACAGATTACTGTCACAGTGACCCCTTGTGTCAGAGGGCTCTGGCAGTGAGGATTTTTCAAGACAACAGCAGACTGCACTGGACTGTGATGACAACACTCAGAAAACACTGCACTGGAACTGCATGCAGAACAGTGGAATAAAAGCACAGAAAGTAAAAAACAATTACAAAAGAGAACACACATAATTAAAAGTGAAGAAATGAGAATTATGGCTAGTGTGGGAATGGCAAACGTAGCGGGGCCAAACAGTCAGAGGGATTTGATGAAGCAGTGTTAGACAGCAGCTGAGTCAAACAAATGGGATGCTTCACATAGGAACCCCACATCGCTTACTTCCCCATACATGTGCTTTTCAGCTTTTGGGTTTTTTTAACTTGAAGCTCGCATGAGCCTCACTGTGGCCATGCAAACACCACACTGTACCTGCAGATGTCCTGGTTGGATGGTGTAACAGAAGTCTGAGAGAAGCTATGAGGGGCAGAAATAGAGGTTGGACTTCCAGCCTGCAGTGAAAGTAAAACAAACAAACAAAAGCAAGTCACAGGTCAGAAGAATTTGGTATGCACAGGAATCACCTTCACGTTCAAACACAGCATATGAAGTCAGATATCACACTGCATCAGACATTCAAGGACTAATTGCAAGGAAGTGGCTTTACTTTCAAAGCTAGAATGGGAGGTCACACAGCCTCATCCTTAGGAAAAGTAATAATCAGAACAGAAACATTTTTCCTCAAGGTCAAATGCAGCCATCTCTGAAGCAGAACCTGCCAGCTGCCAAACACTGCACAGAACAATAGCTCAGGAAATGAGCAATGCTATGGTAATTAGAATAATTAGGTGGAGGTGTGTGTATAGACTAGTCGGAATTTAACTACCACATAATAGCTAATCCTTCCACTTACAATGATGACAAGAGATTAGAGGCTTAGGGCTTCTTTTCACAAGACAGAGCCCTCAGTAATTCGGTACCTTAAACCCTACTTGGGGAGTTATTTTCTGTACTAGCATACCCACAGGAGCACCATCTACTTCAGACCATTCCCTGAAGTACTTTGTACTTTGCATGGCCTTTCATCCTGCCCTTACTCTGACAGGGTCTTCCACCTACCTGGAGAAGAGGTGTGGCAGCAGTCACATCCATAAGACCCAACAAGAGCACAGTAAGACATAGAACAACCTAAGAATTCAAAATTCAGCTGAACTAACCGCCCCAAAAAGAAAGGTACGCTCTTGGCATACTTAACACTTAATAGACAAGCCTTTAAAATCAATATAGTAAGAAAAATCACCGTCTCAGAGTTGGGACATGATGGGCTATATTCTGTGGGTCACAAACAGAAACTTCTTGACTCTTCCTAGAGGTTTCAGCAAGGAGGACACCTCAATTGATAATCTCATAACAGAGAATTTTTAAACCTGGTTCTCCCACTTTCCACAGCTGCTGGATAGGCTGTGCTGCTCACCCACTGCGGCAAAACACTCCTTGCATTTCAAAATCCAAACAAAGGTTTACAGCTTTCTTGATCTACAGAGCAAAGCCTGAAACCCAGGAAGGAACAATTCAACCAACACAACAGGAGTGCCAACACCACGCTGGGCTGTACAAAAACCAGCAGAGCCAGCACAGACTTGGGTCAGGCAAGTGCACAAAGCCAGACTAGGAGAGACCTCAGGTCACGAAAGGCGTGCTGCCACAGAAGCATGCTGTGCCCAGCCCTGTACTTCAGCTTGAGATGCCAGAGCTAGCTCAGTCATCACTGCTTTGATGATCTCTGGTCATGGTGCAACACACATGCTGTATCTCTCTCAGAACTCTTCAGTCCTATACTTAATTTGTTAAAAGACCCTATGGTATATTTAAATAAGGCTGCTGCAGGCTTTTACATTCTCATAGCAAAAGCAATAGCTTGTCACACATTATACTCTTCTTTGCGAGAGAAGATGGGTATACTAGGATACACACCGTACTTTGTAAATACAGATACAACCACTATCTTCCATTTTACAGGACTCATCTGTTAAGGTTTTGTTTCTCTAGCCAACAGCACTACAGAGAGCAATATATCTGGCCTCACACTGGGATGCTTCAGGTGCACTGAGCCTGAGAAAACAGGTATCCATTTACAGCCGGGTCTGCAGGAGACGAGAGGCAAGACTAAACACACACCTCTTGATCCATAGCAAGACACTGTAACTTATTTCCCATCCTGCCCAGCTAGGCACATGTATAGAATAAAAACCAAGAGATTGAGCCAGAAAGCAAACTGAACTATGTCATGACTGTGACAAAACAAATTAAAGACTTAAACATCAGTTATTTGCTTTATCCTGGAAATTATGGTTCTTTACATTTTATACCACTTGCACATGCTAATAATATAGAATGTTGATCATACAGTGAGGTGAATTCAGGTATTACTTGGAAATTAGCTTTCTATTTGATGCCTAACCTCTCCTAAAAGCAGGAACATCTCTGACTTCAAATCTAATCTTTTAAAAAGAGTTTGTGCAGTAATTACTCTTTTTTAAAAAAAGACTGACAAATTAGTGAAAGACCTGACACACTATAATCTGCTGCTATAATTATGCAAATGAAAATTAATAAGACTTAAATAATTAATTATTTAAAAAGACTTATTTAGCAATCTGCTAAAAACAAAATATTGAACCAGTAAAACAGCATGTTTCATTCTGCCATGGAAAGAGCCGTATATTGTTGGAACTGGAGTCACAAATCAATTAATAAATCTGGTTTTATGTTATAAGCAAATCACAGAAGGTAACCTGCTTAGAATGAATCCAATCTCTCTATTCCTTCACTTTAGCAATGAAGCTTTCCAAAAAAGGACAGTGGTATATATGATGTGACACTATCACAGCAGATGACTGGATTCAAAGATACAAAATCTCCCTTCTGAAGCTGTGTTACTGGTTTTTTGATCCAAATGCTCAGCACCAAGATGATGTCAATCTCACCACTTGGGAAATCAAAAGGCTGGGACAAAATAAATAAAAAAAAAAGAAGGCAGAATTTAATTTGCATTTCAAGCTTACTATTCTGTTTCTAGATGCCAGCACTGTTCAGGGCAGCTTGCAAAAACCCCGCATCTGAGATACATTTCCTCTTACCTTCCTGCTTCAAAACAGAAGGTCCTTTGCTCCACCTTCATACATAATGCAAATCCAACCAAAATACGAGCACTTGGAAAGGCACCACAAAGTAGAACACCAAAACATTAGGGGAAGTTACACCCCATCCTTGTTTTAAGCTAACTTAAGCTGTGGCTACCAACAAACGCCATGGGTCAATGGTTCAATGGCTTTTGGCAAGTCTCTCACTACATCCTCCTCTCCTGCCATGGTATTTCCTCATGAAACTATTTACTCAGGTACAGAAGCTATCAGGTAGAGAAGTGCCGCAGCAAAGAAGAACCATAGGCAGCCTTGGGCCAGAATAGGGCAAAGAAGAGGCAATGTGATGGGAGAATGCATCAGAGGTGGATCCAGCTAGGCTGAAGCTCTGAGGTGAGTTCCATGCAATGCTCAGCTCTGATGAGGCTAGGAAAATAAGCAATCAAAGCCTTCCCCACTCTGTAGCTTCTGGTGCACACATACCACCCTTACTACCTCAGAAGCAGCACTTTCGGCTGAACTGGCTACTTACAATGGCAATAGCAGTTTTAAGGCACTCCTTGCCATCGGAGGTTTCTGCCATGAACATTATGTGATAGGTATCCTAAGCCTTGGCAGCCTGAATTCAACCTTTCTAACACTAGAATCACTTGCTGAATCACTTCAGACTTTCATGCCCTTTGCATGAAGGAATATCACTTCCAGTGACAAGCCTCGTAGCTATGTGCTAGTGAGTTACCCTGTACAGCCTGACTGGTTGCCTAAAATAGCTCAGGACTAAAGGTCAATAGTTAGTTAATTGTGTATATTGACATTCCCACCTAATGTAATTCAGCGAGGTCACAGTACAGCCTTCTGCACTAGTATTTAGATAACCACAGTGATTCTGAAGATAGCAATCCCTGGAAGCTCTCTGGAGGGTTGCCATCAGGAAGATATATACATCCTTTTATACATATATATATATGAATGTATGTGTGTGTGTGCATATATATATATATATATATATGTACGTATGTGTGTATATATATGTGTGCTGCCATAGCTGGTTATTCTCATTCTGCCCCCACTCCATGAACAGTGTGATCTGTTGGTAAAAGAACTCAGCCTTTTCTGATTATCTATGTATGATTACATGCTGAACACCAAAGAACCAAATAAACCCACCCTGCCTCAGAAAATAAAGTCATCTTTGAAGTGAGCCATAGTGAACACGTCAGTGGGTTGGGTGTATTCCAAAATAACCTGCTTATTTGAGATGGCACTTCTCGGTATAGTTGCTGTTGTCTCACTCTGGGCTCCACTTCAGTACTAGCAATTATACCTTGTTTTAAAGAACAGGGCCTGTCACATTCTAAAAATCTTATTAAATTATTCATTAAAGCTAAGAACTTAGAAACAACTTTACTCCAGAAGAATACCTCCGCTGATTGAAAGTCTGAAGGAAGCAAAGAAGGTTTTCCCACACACCTGCTAACTTCATCATTTCTAAGTGCCACATGAATAGAACCAATTCTACGACCCTACTATTTGTGCTACAAAAGCACCTAGCAGTCTCAGCTAAGGACCTGGAACTAACATGCTAGGCACTATACATATTTAATAATAGAGCAAAACTCTCCTTTTGGCAGACAAAGAATTAGAGAAAAGCAGCACAGTTTAAAGTCTTTTACTCGAGGACCTGCAGCACAAAGAGCTTCAGACAAATACAAGTTTAGTGATACAGCAAGGAGCCAAACACTCCACAACCCAAATTTCAACCTGGCATTTTGATTATGGGTTTGCCTTTATTTTACACTGCAATGAACCCATTTCAAATCTATGTTTTTCTGCTTGGCAAAATACATACATCAAGTAAGAGAGCTTTAAAAATCCTGAAAGGTAGCTAGCCGCACCTGATGCTGAAAGATGTCTCAAGCACCACTAGACCATTGCAGCAGTTTCTGTCTGCCTCTGTTTTCCATAAGAACCACAGAAGCACAGTGATGGTCTTCTCCACTGAGCCAACTCCAACTACCACCAGTCGCTCTGGGGATTATAGAAACACAGCTAACCATGGTAGGTGGTAGCTAAGTGGAGACAACTCCCACCACTGCCCCAAAGCTGTCCTGTCCCAAGCACAACCAGTGATCAAGGCCTGCTACTTTTAATATTCCCCCCCTGCAATCCCCCTGCATTGTGATGCTTTTTCAGCACCAAGATCACAGTGCTGCTATCTGCAATGGGCCACTGGGAGTTTTGTTTGGATTGGATTTGTCTCTCCTGGTATTAACACATCAAAATGATGAATGTGGCAGCAGCACAGGGAAAAGGCAGAATCAGAGGGATGGTTATCACACCCTGTGTTTTCGAAGAACTCTTCGCCAAAG